AACCACCCTAATGTCCTGAGAAGTATGTGGTCTTACCAGTGTGATCATGCACGCAAGGAGGCAGGGGGAGGGGGCAGACTTTTCAAAAGGAAAATAGGAAGGCAAGTGTCCCTTCCTTATTTCTTGGATGCAAAAGGACAAAGGGTGCAGGTGTAGAAGTACTTGGTTGTTCTCACTTCTGTAGGCAGCATTTAGAGATCACTGTGATAGAATGTTGATTAATGAAAGGCAAAACAAGGTTTAAGAGTCACTGGAAATTTGTCATATATTTTAATCTGGTTTAAGTCTGATCAGAATCCCTTAAAAAAGCAAAGTTAGGATGGAGAGAGATTTTGGTTGTGATAAGAATTAGGAATTTTAGTTCCATAAATTTCTTTGGAAGTTACATCTGTACTGTTTGTAAGCATACATACAAGGGTGACTGGAAATCAGTATGGACAGATAGAATCCATATATTTAATGCCATGAACAGGTATTACCATCACTAATGTCACAGGTAGCTAATTTAGAAGCTCAAACACTGACAATTAGAATTGTATATGTTTGAAGTTATTCACTATTTACTACTTTGTTCCTTGTCATAATTTTTTTAAATTATTTTTGAAAATTTAAAAGATAAAAAGAGAAAGACTCACAAATACTTTGTGAAGCTTCTCCTCAAAAAGATGAAGTATGCCAAGTAAGTGACTAGTTCTCATCGTGCATTAGAACAATGGCCTGATTTAAAATGACAAAGTAGAAACTATTAATAAGGTATGTCCTCAGTTTACCCCATTTATCATTGTAAAGTGTAGAAGTTGGGCTACATTCTTAATTAAAGGTGAAGCCAGTAGCTTGACACTTTCCAGAAGATGACTCTATTTCATTTTCCTGTGCTTTTGCCAAAGTATTTGGGATTAAATGTTCTGTGCTGAATAGTTGCCTGAGAAGCATTTCATTTTGTTTATTTATTCTGAACCTCTCCACAGAGACTGTCCAGCCACTTCTGAGAGGGGGACTAATTTGCAGTCATTTTATGGAAAAAATTTGCAGACCTCTGCTCAAAGTGAAGAGCTTGAAATTTGTCTGCAAGCTTTCTCTTATCTGAAGGATATTTTTTTTGTCCATAAGGAGGAGGAAACAAGAAAGGAAAAACAACTTTAGTCCACAGCTCAGCCATTACATTCTCCGCAGAGTCAGCGCATCTCTCAGAGTACAGAGGGAGAGAAACTACACCATGTTTAGGCAGGGAAGCCAGGAGCAAGCTAAAGCACAATATACTCCCTGGCCTGCTCCAGGGACATTCGCGTTGGCCAGCTGTAAGATTTCCATAGTTTGACGTGGTGTGAGCACATTGCTCTGATAGTAGGTAGTCTAAGCTGAGGTTGCTTACAAGTTGCACTGCCGGAGGAGCAGGGGCTGAAAAATGAAAAGACGAAGAAAATAAAGAAAAGACGAAGGGGTCTTTCTGAAGCCGTGTCTGAGGAAGCTGGTGAAAGGAGGAACTTACACACAAAAAAAAAACTGTGTTAAAAGAATGTCCTAGGTAGCAAAGAAACTCAAGAGATGTCGAAGTTGCACATGCAGAAGCATCAGCATTAACAGGGCCTATGTGTATCTGCACTGTTTTAAGTCCTTTATAATGTGCTTATGTGGGGTGTCTGTCATGTAGCATGAACAGAGATACAAAAGGTGAAGTACAGTTATGCAGGAAGGGGATTCGTATGGATTGATGTTGTATCTTACATGGGTGGAGTGTTGCAGAGCGGTATCAGAGGGTGTTGATGTTAAGAAACTTGAATTCTGCCCTGCAAGACGGAATCCTTCACATCACAGAGTTTTGAATAGTTCTGAATGGTGCTATAAAATGTTGAGCATTACAAAAAATTAAGTTCTCAAATTGCTGGTTTGCACACAACTATTATTCATATCTTACAGTGACCATGCATTGTGTGCTATGTGATGTTACTAGGACGAACTTTTTGAACAAACTTCCAGCTTTTGTTATTCACCCAGAGCTGTTTAGTACCCTAGGAATGAAACTCCTTTCCCACTGACAGAACCTCATTACCTTATTTCAGAAGCATGCTGCAGTGAAGTAGTTTCTTGCAGTGTTACAACTGTGAGCAGTCTTGGGACATTAAATACAAAAGCATTCTTCCTGCAACCTTTAAGCATACAAGCTGTCTCAGAGAAGGTTGCTATAGTGAGACTGAGACCAACCTGTACAGTGTTTTCATGCTTGCTGGGCTAATTTTTTGCAAACATTTCTGTATAATTGATTGGTAATATATGCATATTCAAGTGCACACATTCAAGTAAACTAAAGAAAGTGGCTGAAACCCTGAATGGCTCTGCAAAGCAGTATGTGTGCAGTCCTGATTTATGCCCGTGCCGCGTATTCAGGGGTATATCAACAAAAGCTAGGGGATAGGACTAAATCCCTCTTTAGTAAATGTTTGCTCAATTTAGCAGAACACTGGTGAAACACGCTACAAGGCATTATCTAATGTCAGCAGAAAATGGCTCTAGTGATACTGCTAGGCATGTGTCAAGGTTTATTAACCTGTCAGCTCTGCTCATAGTTCTCAGGCATGAGGTGTGACCTGGTGCCATTCAGTGCGTTAGCACAAATACAAGCATAGCGATAAAATTGTGTAGAACAGCAGCCAAAAATAACATCATCTTTGTGTTTCCTGAAGACTCTTGCTGTCGGTGTCTTAAGTCTTTGGCGGAGTCAGAGGTAGTCTTCGTTGGCACAGTAGTTGCTGATTTGTTAAATGCTTAGCCTGTGACACTTCCACAGTATTTTTTCTATGGGTTAGAAGGGATGCACTGATTATTTGGTTACTCTGTCAGAGAAATGTGTCTGCTTGAAATCATAATCTTAATAGTGAATTATTTTGCTAAATACCAGCATTTCGCTGAAATAAAAAAAAAAAAAAAAAAAGATGTCATCTTTTCAGAGCAAGTATTTAGATAATGCTATGTCAGATTGAAACTTGACATGAACCTACTGATACTTAGCCTTGTCTCATCACAGAGTAAAAAATAACATTATCTGGCCCATATATAATAAGTATTGCCAAAGGAGAGTCACCTATCAGAAAAAAAGAAGCCCATATCTTGCATGTAAAACACACCAGTGATTAGATATGCCTTCAGTATGAAAGTTTCATTCATTATGTTTTTGCAGCAACGTGCTTCTCATATAGCAATGCAATAGCAATTAACAACAGTAGTAACAGGGAAAGGAGTATTAACTTTCATCAGTGTTAACACAGGTTCCTTGAATAAATTCTTACTAGTATTTATAATACTATCGGGCCTTTTATTCAAATAGTGTCTGTCTTTCAGTGATGTTGGTAAATGTGTGAGCTAAAGAGAGAAAAAAATGAGAAATGCCGCCTTCATTCTGCTTCCCACCTCCTCTCCACTGGGGTTTCAGTAGCTGCAGAAGACAGACTGGCTGTTCTCACCCATCACTGGTACAACTGGAAGTAACAGATCAAGTTCCTCTTGTCACATTTCCTGTAGCTCCATCTTTAGGTCAGGAACCCAATGTCACTGGGAGTAAGGCTGCCATGAGATATGTTTGTTGGCTTCTCTCACAGGACAGAAACCCTGATTTCTGATCTTCTGCAGCCTTAACGCAGGCTTCTGGTCAGATAGCTACTTTCCTAATCGCAGCTGCAGCGCAATGATGAGCACTGCCTCCATCTCTTTGCTCTTGGCTTCTCCTAGAAAGCAGATGAAAGCAACAGCAAGTTTATATAATAAAAATAGGCAAAATTTGCTTATTTTTCTTCTTTTCCATCCCGTATTGTAGGTATTATTGTTATTATTACTATTGTCATGCATATTAGTATGGATATCAGAATATGATGTCCTGTGATCAGTGTCTCTACTTGTGTCACCTTACAGCTATTCTACAGCAGTTACAGCAAAACATGAAGCTGGTGGTACATAGAAGACTTTTAGTTATTGCAGCATAATACGTGGCTCTTCAGCTGCTGTTTGAGGGCATCAGGTTTATTTCTCTGCAGTGGCTTTGATGGTGGTCTTTGCCCTTGTCATTAAAGCTTGGTCTAGCCCTGAATGGCTGGTTAATCATCTCCCAGCCTAGGTTAAAGACTGTGAATGTTAAGTTCAGGCTTGAGCTTCCTGCAGCTTTGGGTCCCATTCAGTCTCCTACCTCTCAGGTGGTAAACTGGCTGTGATATAATCCAGGGTGGGCATGGAAATTAAAGATAAACCTGATGTTTACAGAGGGAACAAAGTGTGTTGCCTGCAGTCTATTATTGTTGCCCAGAGACTAGAGAAAATGGGGATCACTGAACTACAGAAAAGGTTGCTGTTGCACTTAGGGGAACTCACCTAGCATGAGTCTGAACTCCCCTGGACATTAAGGATTTTTGCAAGTTCCATCATATGCTGCTTTGTGTGTACATTATTTTGTGTTCTGGAGAATAATAATCTAATACATTAAAAAATAAAAAACAGCAAAACAAGATTCTACATAGAAGAGACTGTCTGAAAACATTATTCAGATTGCTTGATCCTTCAGAGAGGAGTGTGCTTTAAGAATTTATGTACAGTTTGTTTAACGGCTCCACAAATACTAGCATTTTTGTCCATTTAGAAGGATGTTGTAGCACCTTTCTAGACAGTTGCAGAACATCTTTACAGAGTAAAGTATTAGTCTTGCAGCAGATGGTTTGGAAAAACAGTAAGACTAAATCACTGACTAATATAAATTAGTACAGTTCACATAAGTCTTCATCAGGTTTCAATTAGCACTGTTCGATGACGTGTCAGCTGATGGCATTACTTCCTTGCTATATTTAATGGTGTAAAATGTCACAGCTTTTTTGCCTTCAAGCAGTTTCAAGTGGCCTGCTTTGGGTGGTTGTTCCAAATTTGGGAATGAGTTGTACAATTCTTTTTACCTTGACTGTGAGCTCCAGCTGGTAAACTCCATTATGGATAGGAATATCATTTTATTTGTTTTATTTCTATAGGGCACTTGCTTGGGCTTTCCCATGATGACTCCAAATTTTGTGAGGAGAACTTTGGCTCCATGGAAGATAAGCGCTTGATGTCCTCCATTCTGACTAGCATCGATGCTTCAAAACCTTGGTCCAAATGCACTTCAGCAACCATAACCGAATTTTTCGATGATGGTCATGGTATGTATTACCACACCTTGTGTCAGCTACATGTTAGTTTTTACTGTGATTCATTTTTTTAAGAAGAACATTTTATACCAGCTTGTTCATTCCTTGCTCATCTTCAGGACTATCTTGGAAGTGCTTGCGAAACAAGGCAAAGGTCTAAAAGGCTGGCAGAGCCTCACCCTACCCTTGTGTGGTTCGAATGCAAGAGAAAAGAAAGAGTTGATGTGTGTTGGCAATAATTTGGTTTGGAACATGGAGTGGTTTTTTTAAAAGCAAGAAATTAGTCTTGTCTTCCCAAATGCCACAGATATGAGCTCTGAGAGTAGCGTAAACAGAGGACACAAGGAGCTGGCTTTTTCCTCACAGAAATTAAAATGGGTTATATGGTCTACTTAGCATTAGGCTACAGATATGAGAAGCATGTACATGTTCTTGTTAGCATTACTGACATTTCCTATGTTTATAAATGGCATTCTATTTATTACATTTATAATGCCATTGTATTTATTATGTTTTTGTAGAGAGGCTGTAAGGAAGAACTAAGACTCCTCTGTGCTGTATATGATGAAAGATTACTTCTGCCCCAGGAGCTTACCTTCCAAGTCATGTAACTAATTTTGTTGAATATGTCATTTACCCTATGGAGAATAAGTGCAAAACCCTCACTTTCCAAAAGTAATAATAAAAAAGCGTAGTCTTCAATCTTTAATGAATTTTAAAGTCTTCATTGTGGTCCCAAAGCAACTGCAGTTCTTAAACAAACCATTCAAATTCCAAAATGCTGAGATAAAAATGACATAATTGAGTGAATGGATCAAGCTGTTATGGTAACTGAAATGCTTATGGATAAAAAATATGGTATGTCTTCTGAATGTAAAGGGTTTTTTGCTTCTGAATATTTTATCAGGTAATTTCAGTGCTCTTTCAAGTATTTTCTCCTGTTTTCCTCTATTGGAGAATGACTTCATTTTTTCTCTTAATTTTATTAGATCCATTAATCTGTACTGTCCTGTTTTATCGTCCATGTTGCCTTGGCATTGACTTAATATCACTACGTTAGTTTCCATATATGAAGAGAACTTTCCTTTTTGAACAGCACAATTCACTGGGGTAAAAAAAAGGGCCCTCGTTCGCTCTCCATGAATGACCTCTTAGAGAGCGCAAGGAGCTCTGTACTACATTGCCTTTTCTGTTCCTTTGCTGCTGCAGGCAAGTAGAAAGGTTGTTCTCATTTTTTCGCTTTTTTTATGGCCTGTCTTCTTCTCTTTACTGTGCATCCAGCTAGCTACTTTCTCCAACAAGAAAGAAAGCAAAAAGGGCATTTCTCCCACCCACCTCACCTTTGGCTTGTTTGTACCTGGGGATGCTTGAAATTTGGACCCTTATCCATAAGCCTGCGACTAGTCTCTTTTATTACTGATTCTGTTGGTATGATTTCAAACATATAATGTTTAGGGCATCTCTTTTATTGATCAATCAGGCCTTCAGAGACCTTTTCTAAGTAATAGTCTTCCTTTTCAGTTGAAGTTTATAATTTTTCAGTTAGTTATTTTAAATCAAAGATTTGTCTTAACAGAACACAAACACTGTCTATGAAATAAAAATTGGAAGTAAATTATTTAAATTGCAGTTTCTTCAAATGATTGTGCTGAAAGGACATGCTTTATTTTAGGAAGGGAACTTCTGGTTTTATTTTCTTCCTCCAGATAGTGAATGAATCCACAGCTCCCTAATTCCCATTTGTAATGTATGCTAGGCGTACCAGAAACCACAGGATCCTAGTAGAGTATGACGCTACCTTTTGGACTGCTTTGGGCTGATAATAAAACAGTGCAGACATGCCATATTTCCATGTTTCCTTCAGAATAAGAACATGTCTGCTTTTTTTCGGTTGCTCATTTTTTTCCTTTGCTGTGGCGGATGTACTGTCATATAATTGCAGTGTTTTCCCTCCCTTTTTGTCTTGAAAAAGGAGCTCCCCTGCAATCTTCCCATTGAAAGAAGAAAATCCTAGTCTCTCAAGTGCTGTTAGGCAGAGGAAAAAAACCCTAACCATTCAGGTATCATTTTGAGCAGTGCTGCAGGCATAATGTAGATAAGGCACAGAATAGCAGTTGCAACAAAAGAATACAGATATTCACATGCCAGGCTTTCTTTTAGGATGTTTGTGACTGGGATTTTACATAGTCACAGAAAGCTTATGTGCAAAACACTGGACAAGAGGAGATTCTTTCATTCTCTGATAGGCAGCATAAGCAATTTGCACTGGGCTTTTAGTCTGAGCAGGCATGAGCTTATGAATTGTGCTTTGTGACAAACAGGGCATGGCAGCATTGGTGTGAGGAAATAAATAAAGTGGTTCATCTGCTGCTCCTTATGGGTAAGCATAATGAAATGTGAATGAAGTCCAGCAGTTTGGATCTGTGAGCAGTATTCTATTACAAAAGAACAGTCAGTGTCTTATCAAAGCTTTAAGTAAGTTTCCCATATAGATTTAGATATTCACCCCATACTGTTGTAACGTAAAATATCACAGTCTTGACTCTCTAATTCCTTAGCATCACTTTGTCAAGTACTGATGTTCCTATTTTGTAAATTTGGAAAGTGATGTTGAGGAGCGGACTCTTCTTATAAAATGTGGCTATTTACCACGTAGGGAGCTACTCCTAAACTGGGTATTTTAGTTCCCATCGTGGTGCAGAGGGGTCTAACCAATGGCATCAGTGGTTTGACTGATCTCATCAGTTACATTAGTGGTGCTAAGTTACACCATAAACTCATTTGCCTGAGTAGAGAAACATCTGACAGCTGACTGAATTGCAGACACCAGCATTACATACAGTTAAAGTCAGCTAAATAAATCCCAATATAAATGTCTTGTCCAAGGTCAACCAGGAGATCTGGGGAGAATCAAGGTGCTGATTCTCTGTCTCCTGAGGCCCACTCTGAGAACTATAAACATCATTGTCATGATACCGCCATTTGTTTTACACTCATGAGATTACCCCAGACAGCAGTTTAACATTTAGGAGGAAAAGGCTCAGTTAGTGTCCAGAAGACAGTGACATTTATTTCCATCTGCTTTTAGCCCACCCTCTCCTAAGGTACTAATTGCCTTTATTGTCATGCCAACCACTAGACTATGGTGTGATTGCTTGTGATTTATCGTGTTTGTCAGAGTGCTCAGTGCTCTGTGCAACCTGAAGCAAGGACTATTTTCTATTTTAATTAATTTATAACCTGGTTATCTGCTTCCCACACAGATCTTATTCTGCCTTTTTTTCCCTAAGATATATTGCACATAACGTTCAGGAGAGATAAAGAGATGGCTTAATTAACAGTGTCATCAGACAACAATGTTGCTTTATTCCAGGCCACACAGATGTTCTTTGGTACTCAGGACAAAAAAATGGGAATAGCAGTATTTACGTGCTCTGTATGTTGTAATGTAATGTAGTGAACTGAAGCCCTCTCTGCTCTCTCAACCAGGAGGCCCAGGGCAAACCATTCTTCAACTTCTTTTCTGACCATTACAAGTAGGAGGTTGGACCAGCTGATGGTGAAAACACCTGTACTTCATTGCAACCTGTCTAAACATAGATTGTCACTGCTACTATCTATTAATATTTTTTTTTCTTCTGTGGGGAAGCCTTAGGGGCCTTTCCTATCTTCAGGTTTGAATTTATCATGTGAGATCAGCTGGAACACCTGGCTTTATAGACTTTATACATATATCCTCAGAACAGTATCAGTTAAAGAGAACTTTGGATCTCATTCTCCTCTGTTCCGAAGGGGGAAAAATGCTATATTTGCTATGTAAGCTTGTGAGACCTTTTTATGGTCTCATGTGAAAGATATTCAAACAGGTGTTAGCTATAATGATCGACAGATCAAGTATATGCAAGGATGTGACTTTTTTTTTTCTTTTCTCTAAATTTGTAATTTCCAGTCATGTCAATCATGGTAGATCTCAGTGATGAGCAGCAGTGTCTGTCATGGTGAAATTGAATGTTATTATGGTATTTTAGAATATTGAATAACAGTTGCACTTGGGAGTTTGATAAGCTGCATTATAGCCACAATAGTAGTGTATAGTACTGACTATTGACATGCTAGTGCCTTCTCACCACTGCCCTAACACCATACTACCTTCCTCCCTCGTCACAGGGTATATGAAGTAGGACTTACACTGTTCTTTACTTTTACAAAGTGTGTTTTTGACAGCAACTTTTGCCAATTATGTCCTTTTCAGAAACTCCAGAAAATAAATCTGTGCTTCCTCGCTCTTCACCATGACTTTAATATTTTACACTACAACAGGCTTTGAACACTAGGGTATTTTTAATTATCTCATGACACTCAGCTCATCAGTTAGCATTGGCACACCTTGTCTTCATTAAAGAAGTCAGCATAATCCAGATTAAAGATAAGGCTAGGGTAAATCAGGGTCAGCAAAGGAAAAATGAAATAGGCTTAACAAGACCAGGATTTTTTTGGTAGTAAGTGATAATGCAGAAAGAATTCTTGGTTGATTTGGCTAATTGGCCTTAGTCTTTAGAGGAAAAAAAACAACAGCTGCAGTAAGTGTATGTTCTAGAGGGAAAACACAAGCCACCAGGAGATGAGTATTTGGTTTGTTTAAGTTCACTGCCATCACTTGAAATTCTATCCCATTTTTGTGTAAATAGTGAGGATTTTATAGATAGCCTTTTTTCACCCATGATCCAACTGAATAACACTGGTGTAGTTTCCAAAGTGAGGTAAATTGTGGTAAGTTATTTTGGCCAAGGATAAGTGAAGCTTGCCCAGACCACATAACCCTTTCATGAAGTGTAAAAGAGGTTACACTGAATAAATACTTCTGCATGTCAACAAGTAAGATTTTCAATAGTAAAAAAAAAATCTATCAGTAGATCTTCTGGAACCTAAATGTGAATTCTCATTTTTAGAGTGTGCCAGACAAATCTTGACCTCTGCAATATATCCCAAAACACATATTCAATTCTTTGTGTTTATGCTATTTTTTTCTTTTCTTTCAGTTATTTATATATTTTTGTATAAAATGGATAGCCCTCTTCAAGCTAATTCCTTACTAGAAGCAGCCAAGGATCATTCCTTACAAGGAAAGCCCAGTCCAGATTTACCGCCAACATTAGTTTTGATATGCAGCTTGTATTTTTCCTTTGATCTGTTGGGGGTTTTTTTTTTCTTTCTTTCTTTTAAGTGCCTTCTTGGCTAAAAGTCTGTTTTTTGTGATTTTTCTGGCATCCCTTTAGAAACTTTACCATTTGTGAAGTTCTGTCTCAAAATTAAAATTACAACTTTGCTTACTTTGCCATAAGTCTTGATCATTCCTTAAATCACAAATTGATAAATAAACTGGAATGTGTTCAGAGTTGATTCAAATAAACGAAACCAGAATGAAAAGCCAAAGGGACCTGAGTAAAACTCAATTACACCCTCCAACTGAAAACAGACAGCTCGACACCTGGTGCACTGCTGGGTGAGAACACAGTTGCAATAATATGACTTTGTCCAAAACCTCACCTCAGAGAGCCTTTCCGTTCACGTCAACATTCTTTGAATGAAGATCACTGTCATTATCAGTCCGCCTAACTTGTGTGACAGATTTGCAGCACTGCAGAGAAAACTAGGAAATGACTAATAGATTGGTGTGCTCTTTTAGGTAACTGTTTACTGGACCAACCGAGAAAGCAGATCCTGGGCCCCGAGGAGCTCCCAGGACAAACCTACGATGCCATTCGTCAGTGCAAACTGGCGTTTGGACCTGAATACACAGTGTGTCCTGGTATGGATGTGTGCTCTCGCCTCTGGTGTGCAGTTGTGCGCCAAGGTCAGATGGTATGTCTGACGAAGAAGCTGCCTGCTGTGGAGGGAACGCCATGTGGAAAAGGGAGGATCTGCCTCCAGGGAAAATGTGTTGACAAAACCAAGAAGAAATACTACTCAGTAAGTTACCAGTTGTGACCCAAGGGGATTGTAGAAGGCACGATCCTCAAAGGCGCTGATTTCTGTGGGAGTGAAAGGGACTTTATGGAAGTCAGATTGAGAGCTGCCTTATTTTTTAGCATGTAATTGGAGAGTTATTGGCGAGGGATATTGGAAAAACACTGCTGAGTTTCAGGGAGCATGCTTTCTTCTTGAAGTATGAAAGCTTTCATTCCTTGAAAACTAGGAGCATCCCTCCAGAGCAGAGGATTTGCCCCTTCAGTAAGTCAGGTCTCAGGACATACAGAAAGATTGTCAAGGAACTATTCTTAGCTTCCTGACTTCCTGGCAATGGACTACGAGGTAAATTAAATGTGTAAATTTAATTTACAGCCCTTATCCAAAAGGCCCCAGGGCCCTAACTGTAGTGAAGAGAACGAATGATGAAGTTCATCCTGAAAATAATTGCTGGAACAGAAGGGTTTGTACCTCCAGTGTCCTCTGTGTCAACTTTATACGTCTGAAGAGTCCCCAGGCTTCTGAGAACTGTCAACTGCACAGTTCAGATACTCCTAAATTAGCTAGGTAGACAGTAGCACTGCCCCTTCTTCTATACCCACAGGAGAGGTACAGACTTGTAGAGCTTTGTGAAGATATTTGCAAACTATGTGAGTCATTCTAATCAAGCTATGGCCCTTATAACACCCATTTTTTATAGAATTATGTAATTCTTCATCCAATACCTGTAAGTGGTTGAAATACTCGTTAAGGAGCCAAATTAGTAGAGTTGCAAACTATATCTGACAACCCCATCTCTTGCCAGTAATTCAGAGCAATAGCTACACATCACAATAATTGCATTTAATTAATCACAGATTATCTGTGTGAACGTATCCTGGGAGCTGAATCCCCTGGATCTCATTTGAGACAGCCTATTGGTGGGAACAGCAAAAAAAAAGAGAGCAGCACCTGAGACTATGGACACTACTTCTGGTGTATGTTTGTCTTCCATGAAACAGGCTGAAGGTCACTGTGCAGAGCAAGGCCTAGTATTGCCCTTGCATCACAGTGCCAAGTGGGATGTCATCAATGTGCAAATAAAAGACAGAAATTAACTCCACTGGGAGAAAAAAGGCTTCTAAGAGCTGTTATCCCTGATCAAAATGACCAAGGAATCACCTTCAATTGAGGAAAACATTAGCAGTGTCTTTGAGATGTAGCACCTGTATTCACATGTAGATGATGTCCTTACCTCCCACTGTTCCATATATTTCAGGCTTCAAGCCATGGTAACTGGGGGTCCTGGGGACCTTGGGGACAGTGTTCCCGTACCTGTGGTGGAGGAGTTCAGTTTGCTTATCGTCACTGCAATAACCCAGCTCCTAGAAACAACGGCCGGTACTGCACTGGCAAGAGGGCCATCTACCGCTCCTGCAACGTCACGCCCTGCCCAGCAAATGGTAAGTGCCTTCATTCTCCAGCCTCTGTGTTCACAGATAGTAAATATTGAACACCTACTGTGAAAGGTAACAACAAAGATCCATTGTAGTTTCTCCAAAATGTATTCACCAAGGCAAGACATTCATCATTAGTACAATACCATAATTCTTCCCCCATCCCCACCCTGATGCCATACAGAAAGGACACTTGAATGAAGAGAAATTTCAGCCCTGGAAAATTAACCATAATGCAAACTTTAGTCCTTTAATGCTTATTATATCATGGGAAGATTTCCAAGCTAAAGCAGTTGAAAGATTTGAAGGCCAGTTCTAAGTAAAGAGCTGAAGTGACCTAACTTAAAAATAATGTAAAAAATAAAGTGGAATAATAGATGAGCATAATGATATTTGCAGCCTGCTCTGAAATAGTCACTAATGATGTGAATAATTCTACAGCTAAATCTTTTCGACAAGAGCAATGTGAAGCAAGGAATGGCTATCAGTCAGATGCAAAAGGTGTCAAGACATTTGTTGAATGGGTCCCCAAATACGCTGGAGTACTTCCCGGAGACGTCTGCAAGCTTACCTGCCGAGCCAAAGGAACTGGCTATTATGTGGTATTTTCTCAGAAGGTAACAGCATCTAAAATCATTATTTCATGCTCCAGTTTAGAAGTGTCCTGTGTCTTAGAAATCTTTCCCTTCAACAAGGGAAAAGAAGTAAATCATATGATTCAAAGATTTAACAGTGTGATTAGATTTAATGGTTTGATCCAATGGTTATACATGAGGACCAGAAATGGCCTCTAAAATGAAATAAGGTTTCCACATCTCATTATGTGGATTCATTAAAAATATGGGTCTCGGTGTGCTCTGCACTAGTTTGTTTTCAGTAGTGGATAAAGGGGTTTCTGCCTGGAGAGTCATCTGTCATTCTGAGTTGTTCTGAAGGAAAAGGAGTGCTACAAGTAAAAGAATAAATTTTACCCTGAATTATGTTACAGGCATCCAGAGTAACTCTTACGGAGCCAATTAATATAGAATAATTAGCCAATTAGTATAGATGTAACTTGTGGTCAGTTTGTTATATTGGATGCAATTCGAACTGAAATGTCTCCCATGCTTACAGTTGCAGTTTTCTGCCTCTAAATGTTATGACGGTAACATTTAGATGTAGATAGCTCAAATGCAAGGCTATCTAGGAGTACTGTTATTGTTATTATTAGTAAGCTGTGGAATCATCATTAAAGCCAGGGTCATCTTAGTGTGTTATGGTGGAGTTATCTGTCATTGCTTTCAGCCCTTTGCTAAATTTCATTTGCTTCTGTGCTGGGAATGTTAGAGAAACTCAGTCTGGGCTGTCAGGATAGGCACTCTGTTCTGTATGGGTGACATAAATAAGTAACTGGGTTGTACCAGTCAGATTCAAAAAAGCAAATCTTTTCCATGGTTGTTTTAACTAATGGTCATTTGATTGCCTAGGTAACTGATGGTACTGAATGTCGACCGTACAGTAATTCAGTCTGCGTCCGGGGAAAATGCATCCGAACTGGTTGTGATGGCATCATCGGTTCAAAGCTCCAGTATGACAAATGTGGGGTGTGTGGAGGAGACAATTCCAGCTGCACAAAAGTCATGGGAACATTTACCAAAAAGAGGTACTGATCCTAAGTATCAGTAAATGTATCTTGTTGTGCAAATAGTAACTGCTATGTGCTTGCTTGCTTTCTGTCCCTAAATGCAAATTGCTTTCATATGAAGATTAGGCAAAAACATACAGTGCCTGTGCTTTATTGCACTTTCCAGGTGTTTACAGCTGGTGTCTTAACAATACCCTAAAACTGGCAAATAAACAACTAGCAAAACACTGTACACAGTCCATTTCTGACACAAAGTGCCAATGATACAGGTTAACACCCAGTCATAGGAAGTTTGCCTGGAATAAGGCATAGTATCTTGAGCTACTTGCTAATCTTGTTGGTCAGATGGCTTATGGTTTCTAGAGGAGAGAGGAAAGGGAAGAGAGGAGTTAATCAGAAAGTCGTTGGGGTCAGAAAAATCTGGATGTGTCAGAATAATCTGGATGTATCCAAAACTCTGCACTTCCCAGATGGTGCTGTGTTAGCAAGTAAATGCTGAGAACTTGCTTCATCCCATCTAATGTTGAATGACAATGAGGATATCCCACCTGATTTAGTGACATGGATTCCTTGTGTAGTTAGTGAAGACAGACAGACAGCATTAGAGCACAGCTGTAGAAGTCCTCCTTAATAGCTGAGAGGGATTATGCCCTAAAAATACCTTTTCACACTGCTAAGTACGTATGGAGCTAAGATGACTAGATGAGACATCAGAAGTAAACATAGGCTTAACCATGGCATTTGCTATATCCCTTCATGTCCGTTGGCACAATATTGATCTACAGATGGATTTTTTGTTTAAGTCAAAATATTTACAGCAGTTATGCATATGTTATTTTTCTGCCAGAGTTCACCTTTTAACTATAATAAAACTTAATACAAATAAAATAAAAGGAACTGCCCCCATGGTTTTCCCTGACTGCTTTGAGGGCAGCAGTAAGCTTTGTACTGAGATATCAGTGTCAAGTCAGCCTTCTGTCTGAACTTGTCATTTCTCTCCCTCTTCAACTCTTAAGATTCATAGAAAATTGAGGATTTTTAATTATCGTTTATATAGATTCCAAGGTCTCAAAAGACTGCTGTAGTGATCTACTCTTAGAAACTTTGACAATTTCTACTCAGTATGTGTGACTGCATTAGTGTACCATCTTTTAAAATGTACATAAACTTGATTTTGTTTTATATCTTCCAAATTCTTATATAGCATGTTGAAAGCTACCATAAGTTGAAGTCCGACTCCTGAAATGGCCTTTTATTTCTATACATTTCAACATACTGATTAATAGCAGTAAAAAATGGCTTTGAGAGTGAATTTATTCTGAAAATAAACATAAATAATCTTCTTCCTGGTAAACCAATGATTACTCACCTAAGGATGCCAAAACACCTCTGCCAAAAAGAATGACTTTCCATCCAAATTAGTAATTACAGAAACCAAATATTTTCCAATTTGTAAATATTGAAATGTCTGGGATGTCTAAATGAAGAAGACAGTGTGAGATAGACGTCATATGATTCAGTAATGATTCTTGTGCTGGAATCCATGCTCCAGCACAAATGTTAAAGGGACTCCATAAATTTCAGTGAGGCCAGATTTGTAGCATAGATATACTGGCAAATTAAGAGATTCTATGATAATTATTTCTATGAAGTTACCATTTTACTCCTCAAATCTTGCCTTTAAGTGAAATGAGACTGGTCAGAGAGTAAAATATTAATTCAACCTCAATGAATTCAAAAAAGTTGCCACATTTAGAAAGTAATAATCAACCTATAAGTAACAAGTATGTTCTAACTTGATTTTCATTAAATTTTAGAGTGATGAGGATTTATTTTTTAGTGAAAATATTGTTTGAGACAATTCTCTTACACGAGTAATTGACTTTAAAATAAACCGCACTTTAAAATAGTGAAATCTTAATTGTCTGTTTTTACATCTGAAACTGTTTTTACATACGAAGGAGCAGTGGCTGTAGTAAAAATTATCTTTTCGCCACTGAAAAATAGCAGCTCCTGCATTGCTGTCCATTATAAACCAAACTGTAGCAATCTGTACATTGAATGTAAAGGGAAACTATTGAATGTACAGGGAGAAATATATTTCCCATTGCACACAATTTCCATACAAACATTTGTTTGTACTTTTTTCTTTTAAAGCAGTCAGAACATGATTTTCTGGACAACTTGCTTCCTAGGAACCTTTTTTAAAAGGCTGTAAAGCGAAGTTGTCAGAAGTTGGGAAAGAGGAGAATTAGGGCTTCACACGCTTCTTTCTGCACAGGGAGTGTAACAATTCTTTGTGCAGACAAGTTGAATTCCCCAGCATTGCTTATAGTTTTTGAACAAATAATTTTGTAACTTTAACAGCATGTTTTAGCAGAGTTATTTTGGCAATTTTTATGTAAAAATATTTGTGCAGTGCCGTAGTCCCCCCCCCAGCCTGTTTTTTGCACCATATTCCTTCAGCTTTATGGAGGTCTAAATCAATAGAGTTTGTCATTGTCCCATAACTACTGGAAATAGTAGGGGAGTAGTGCAAGCGTTTAATCTGTACTCTGTGCAGGATACCTGTACAGCCAAAAATTCTCAAAATTAACAGTCTGTTCTTGAAATAACCTCAAATAAGACCCCTTCACTTTTATATATATTTTAATACATTTTCTCATTCCTTTTTTTCTAGAAGTTTCAGCACTAAACTTTTCAGATATGAGATACTTGCAGAATGGTTTTGTCACGGGTTTAGAAATGAAAATGCATGTCTCCAAAGCCCAGCTGGTAGCATGTAGCTATGTATAGTCTTTACATTTTTTTCTATGTATCAGTAAAGTTAAAATAAATAACATACTTGAGATAGTGATAAGTTCCAGCACACTTGCAGGTTTTGAATGCTTGTCACTTTCAGTAGAAGAGTTAAATATCTTCCTCTGAATCTGAATTAAGATACGTCATACGTAGCAACAGAGAAAGCTCTGTGATGGTACAAATTAAACATTTGGCTGCACCTCATGTTATACACTTGACAATTAATCTTCGGCTTTATGAATTTCAAAGTAAACAAATTTTTGCTCAGTGATCAAGATGTTCCCAAGGTATCTCTACCCAGCTGTTAGTCTGCTCATGCTTTCCTTAATCATCATTATAGCAAAGACAGCAAGAAACAGCTGTAACCAATGCATATCTCATTATCTTTCCTTGGCAGGCAAAGCGTGCATCATATTTCATACCTCCCACCCTTTGCTGAAATATATAAGCTATCTGTTATTTTTCATTTCTCTTGTATCTGACTCGTGTAAAATCATTATTAAAGCTAAAGATTAAGCAATTTGAAGTAAGTGCAGTAGAAAGTGCCTCAAGAATAGAAAGAGCAATACAATAGACAAACAGTGGAACCTGGTTAAATTAATCTTAGATGAGCCTCAAGCCAGATGGATTCAGGGCCTGAACTGAAACAAAGCAAGATGCATCATGCCAGTGACCTCATTAGCTGTTGCAATAAGACTCAAGGCTTATTTCATGCTAGCTGTTGAATACTCTTTTTTTTTTTTTCTTTTTAATCATCATTCAGCAAGGGCTACACAGATATAGTGAAAATCCCAGAAGGGGCAACACACATCAAAGTTCGTCAGTTCAAGACTAAGGACCAGAGCAGGTTCACTGCCTACCTGGCCCTGAAAAAGAAAAATGGTGAGTACCTTGTCAATGGAAAATATATGATCTCCACTTCAGAAACAATAATTGACATCAACGGGACTGTCATGAACTACAGTGGCTGGAGTCACAAAGATGATTTCTTGCACGCAATGGGACACTCTGCCACAAAAGAGGTTCTTATTGTGCAAATACTTGCAACTGATCCAACTCAACCCGTGGATGTTCGCTATAGTTTCTTCGTGCCAAAGAAGCAAGGGCAAATGACTAACTCTGTCACCAGCAGTGGCAGCAGCAGCAGCAAAGTAACTCCACAGCTTATGGAACCCCGCTGGGTTACGGGGCCGTGGCTTTCTTGTTCTCGAACATGCGACACAGGATGGCACACCAGGACTGTCCAGTGCAAAGACGGACATGGAAAATTAGCTAAGGGATGTCTTCTCTCTCAGAGACCATCAGCATTTAAACAGTGCTTGTTGAAAAAGTGTTAACCTGTGGTTCTAATCTCCTTTAAAAGAGGTTTGGTTAAGCCATTGTTGACATACTGGTATTAGGTCTGCCCAGACAGAGAGAAGCAAAGGCTTCAACGTACTTACATACAGTCTGGAACTATGGGCAGAATCTGCCTATTTGGACCAAATGAAGATGTGCACTGCTTTAAATAATAGTAGGGTGATCGTAATATGTCAAAAAAACTAAGCATTAAAGTTGTTATAAGCCCTCTGTGTCTGCAAAAATATAAAAAGAATGCAAAAGAAGAAAAACTAGTGAATGGAGGATCCTGGGATATTTGAAGGTTACAGAATCATCTCCCCTTTTTCACCTACCTCTAATACAGTATGTCCTTAGAAAATGTCACATGTACCCATGATACCACAGTAGCTTATTATACTGTTCTGTAAATATCTTTCATTTGGTATGTCACTTTATATCGCTTGGTTCTATTAAAAAAGCAAAAGACAAACTACATAAGCAAAGTGATTGACCAAAGTATATCTGCTGCCCCTGTGGACTTGGTCCATTCCTCAGAAAGGGCTGCAGGTGTTTTACTGGAAAATGAAGAGCTTGCTGCTGGTTTTTAAAAGTAATACCTTTAGGTTTTGACAAAACGAAACATATTTTCATGCTAAGAATTTCCTGACAGCAGATCGTTGTTCTGTGACAAATACCGTGTTTCCACCAAGAAATTATCAGAAGGAGCATTGCAGCAGCTTGCAGACCAGGGATTCCCACGTGTATATTGCTCAAATACCAGCACCATCAGCAACTCCTCACCGTGTGTATGTCAGACACACACAGGAGGAGGATTTGACTGCTAGAAGGAATTTCTGTACACTTTGCTTGCAAACCTTCCAGTAGTTCCAGCTGTGTCACAGCTTGGGGTCCTCATTGTCAATGAACAATAGCTGCTAGCTTCTTCTTTCCATAAAACAAAGGCATACTGTATTTTGTAGAAACTAGTTAGAGAACCAAAAATTACAGGTAAGATAATCAAGTGTCTTCTAACTCAGATATTCTGAGGGTGTGTTCAACTGCTTTCTCTGTTATTTTCTCTGTGGTTTCCACCTTGAATCTAACAATGTGTAATGTACGTATATCTTTTGAAGAGGCTATAAAGGTCAAAAAAACACAGCAAGCAGTTAATATTTTATCACTGTTTTGTCCATCATGTCTAACTCTGGTATTCATCTTACCAGCAAAAGTTTGTAACTATTTGTCTTTTTTGATTGTTTTGTGTGTGTTTTGGGGTTTTTTTAAAGCTATAGAAGGCATTCATATTTTGTATCTCTACCATGTTTGGAAGCAAGAGGGGTCACTAGGAAGTCAAAACACATCAGGATGTGGAGGACTTGCCTGATATCAATAAGACTGTTTCCACAGTACAGGCAGTATCTGGTAATAATTTTCATTGGCAGCAGTTTCTGAATCTCCTTATTGCCTCATAGAAGTTCTGTGACTGAGGATGGGCATTTCACCTTATGCAGGTAACAGGTGGAGCCCTAGTAGTAACCCTGTTAAAATTGCTTTATTTTGTATCAGCAGGCTTTGAATTAAGCCCTAGAATAACAGATACTGAAAAAAATGGTTGTAATACACTGATGAAAATAGAATCCCATCTGTCTTTTATTCCTTCGTTCATCCACACAGGAGGGTGTGAAACTGCAGGAGGATTTTCAGACAAGCTTCACAGCTGTAAGTCAGTGGTACTTGAGCACTGAAATACCCCAGGCTTTTCTGAAAATCCCAAATCGTTACATCAGTGGAGAAAACTTGTTGCGATGTGTAGCAAGAAGGGCAGGTCTCACTCCAGGCTGACACAAACATGTTTTTGCAACTGTGGCATGTTTGTATGAACTCTAAGAAAGCATGTGATGATTTCAAAACGGCATAGCATTGCTACATCTCTTAAGTATGAAACCTGGAGAAGTAGATATTTTTGTACCCTGTTCTAAATAAACAGTAATAAGGGACAGGGCCTCATCCTCTGCCAATATGAATTACCAACTAATGTTGCTAGTCATCTTCAGCTTTCAAGAATGGTGTGGCTGTTTTATTAGGAGTCATCCTATGCGAAACTGTGGATCTCAAGGAAAATTCCCTACTTAATGTTTGATGCCACCCTAAGAACTAAGATCAAGGCTGTGAATATTTCCAGACTTCTGTAAAGTTAAGATTTATGCCTTCTCTACCTGTTAACGTAAGATCACTTTGAATTGTCTTATTTTCCTTTCAAGTAATCTAATTATTATATATGTATTACACATGTTCTAGAACTTCTCAAAAAAGTTCATAACAAATAGAAACCATCATGAGAGAAAAAATAAGGAGACGTAATGTGTCTCAGTGTAGACTTAACATTTGTCTCTGCATACAGCTGCTGTATAAAGTGGCATTTGTTTTTCCTGTGTTTTATCATAATAGAGACAGAATGTGCAAGTATTTGTGTTTGCATCATAGTAATAATTTATTATATATTCAACAGGATGAGTAAAGCTTTTGGATGCTATTCAGGCTCCAGAAGAGTAATACCATACACGGGTATAAATTTAAAGCTTCCTTAGATCAAGAGTATTTTTTTTCATAGAAAGAGTTTATTTATTAAAAAAAAAAAAAAACAAATATGAGAACAAACCACTATAGTGATTTTTCCCTTTTCACCAGTGTAGTAATGAAGCAAATTAGCATGAGTAAAAAGTACTTGCCTTTCTATGGTGAGAGGGCAGAGACCAAGGAAGCAGCCCTAAAAGTGTAAGATAAACTAGGTCAGCCTGCTGTAGTTAACACTTGCTTTTCAGATGTTCTTTTGTAATCAGACTCCCAATTCCAAACCTTGCTTTTGTCAGTCATAGCTATGTCATGTAATTGATGAATGAAAAATGTATGCAAGGTATGTGACTTTGTCATTTTAGTTTCTGTTCTTGACTAAATTCGTTGTCACTCACACTGTTATGTCATTGTTTACATTACTACCGACTGTTGCCAAACTGGATTCATAAAATGCATCTAGGGGATAGAAACACAGAATATTGCTCTTTGCATAGAAAGAAACAATCCTCAGTGTTAAATTTGCTGCTGACTTTTTGGGACACATCTCCAGTGCCCGTAGGTGGAGTTGGACACCTAAGCATCGGTGGTTTTTAGAGCATCTGCTTTTCAAATAAGAGGTTCTTACTAGGAAAAAAACTATCATCTTTGGCTTGACTATATACAAGAAATTAAATTAAGCTGCCCTCCTGTGGAAACAGTTTTATCACAAGGGGGAAAGGGAATAATCTTGTGGATTAATCACAATTGTAAAAAAAAAAAAAGCAACACAGCACTGAAAAAAATAAAATAATTTATTGTTTTTACAACTGGTATGTGAACAGATGTAATGAATTTATTTATTCTTATTTAACAAAAATGCCAATTGTTCAAATTCTATATTTAAAATATTTTGCTATCGTCTCTGTCTCTCTCTTTCTCACTCTTAATTTATGCTTCAAATTTATGTTGAAAGTATGCCTTTTGAGTTTACATAATGTATGGCACTGGTTATTTTTTGTATGTGTTTATTTAGAAAGCTTTCTGCATGAAACAGGACTATATGTGTATACATGTGTGCGCACTGTATAGATGTATATACATTTTCTACTACCATCTTTTCCTTAGAGAAGTTGTAGATTTCTAATTTTGTGACACCTCATGCTTAAAGCTCCTTGTTACACTTCACTTTGAAAATCTCTCAACTTGCAAGTCATCAAGGTCTGTGGACCAAAGAAACCCCATACTAGCTCCTAAAGAAGTCAGACAACAGACTTGCTTTGCACAGGCGCAGACAATTCATGCTTCATGCCTCAGTGCTTTACCACAGAAGCTGGCAGGAGTCTTACCCTTTGCTTCAATAGGAGCAAGTTCAGGCTTGCAGTAAGTGGGAGTCCTCTATAAGTGAATGAAGTTTCTCTGAGTTGTCAGGGTGGCAACTGAGTCTTCTCTCGTGCAACTTCTTATGTTTAAGTGAAAACATTGCAGAGAAACTCTTGTGTGCCTCTTCACAAATATAGCTGAAACAATGTGTGTTTTGGTTTATGAACCATTAAAAAAGCTACTTTTTCAGTCTTACCACCATTTATATACATACATAAATATGTATATATGGCTATAAAGAGTCAAAAGCCCAATTTGGAAGGCTTTGCAATGTTTTACTTCTTTGTATTCTAGCTCTTTGAACCACATTGGGCAAAGTTAGACACAAAAAAGCCAGCAAAGCATGTGTTCCCAGTGTTTCCTTGAAAATAGCAATACCTGTTTGCTTCCACTTTTCATCCAG